CCATTTTTTTTCGTTAGGTCTGACCCACTTTTTTCAGTAGGTTTGTCCCACTCATTTTAGTTGAATTGACAGGTGACAGATGGCAACTGATAGATGACAGATGACATATGACACATGACATATGACAGCTGACACATGGCGGATGGCAGATGACGCTCTACAGATGACAGATGACATATGGCAGATGGCAGGTGACTGATTACAGATTAAACCAAACCAAGTCCAACCTGAAGCATTATACAAAAAAGTTAGGTTTGTGTCAGTATATTTGTCACGTTCATCCCACTCCATTTCATTATGTTTCTGCCATTTTTTTGTTAGGTTAGCCCCAGATTATCATTTAGGTTTGTACCACTTTTTTCTTTAGGTTTCTCCTACTTTTTCGTTAAGCTCGATAGTTAGCTTTGTCCTACCAACTTTGTTAGGTTGTCCCATTTTTTTTGTTAGGCTTGTCCCACTTTTTTCTTTAGGTTTCTCCTACTTTTCGTTAAGCTCGATAGTTAGCTTTGTCCTACCATCTTTGTTAGGTTTGTCCCATTTTTTTTTGTTAGGCTTGTCCTACTTTTTTCGTTAGGCTCGTCCCAATTTCTTTGTTTGGTTTGTCCTACTTTTTCGTCTCGTTTGTCCCACTTCGTTTCGTCACGTTTGTCCCACTTCGTTTCGTCACGTTTGTCCCACTTCGTTTCGTTAGGCTTATCCCACTTTTTTTTCGTTAGGTTTGTTCAACTTTTCTCCGTTTAGCTTGTTCCACTTTTGTTAGGTTTGTTTCACTTTTCCCGTTAGGTCATGTCCTACTTTAGGTGTGTCCTTCTGTGCTTCGTTATGTTTTTCCCACCTATCCGTTAGGTTTATCTCACTTTATTCATTGGGCTTGTCTCACCTGTTTCGTTAGGTTGTGCTACTTTTATTCGTTAGGCTTGTCCCATTTTTCTGTTAGGTTTTGCCCCCACTTCTTCCGGAAAGGCGTGCCTCTCCTTTTTTCGTCAGGTTTGTCTCAATTTTTTCCGTTAGGTTGTCCCACCTTTTTTGTTAGGTTTAGCTCACACTTTTCGTTAGGTTTGTCGTCTTTTTTTTGTCGGGTCTGTCCCACCTTTTTCTTGGGTTTGTCCTACTTTTTTCATTAGGTTTGTCCCACTGTTTTTGTTAGCTTTGTCTCACCTTTTTTGTTAGGTTGGTCCCATTTTTTTTCGTTAGGTTTGACACACTTTTTTCAGTAGGTTTGTCCCACGTATTTTTGTTGGACAGGTGACAGATGACTGCTGATAGACAACAGATGACACATGACATATGACAGCTGACACATAATAGATGACAGATTACAGATGACGCAAGACAGATGACATATGACATATAAAAAGTTAGGTTGTGTTAGTATATTTGTCTCGTTTATCCCACTCCATCTCATTAAGTTTCTGCCATTTTTTTGTTAGGTTAGCCCCAGATTATCATTTAGGTTTGTCCCACTTTTTTCTTTAGGTTTCTCCTACTTTTTCGTTAGGTTCGATAGTTCGGTAATACGATTGTTCGATAGTATGATAGTTCGATAGTACGATAGTTCGATACCCATTTTTTCGTTGGATTTGTTCTACATTTTCACGTTAGGTTTAAATCACTTTTTCCGTTAGGTTTGTCTCTTTTTTCGTTAGGTTTGTCTCACTTCATTTCATCAGGTTTATCTCACTTTTTCCGTTAGGTTTGTCTTATTATTTTCGTCAAGTTTGTCTCACTTATTTTGTTAGACTTGTCCCACTTTTTTTTTCATTAGGTTTGTCCCACTTTTCCATTAATCTTGTACCAATTACTTCGTTTTGTTTGTCCTACCCGTTTTGTCCGGTTTATCGCACCTCATTTCCTTAGGTTTGTCCCACCTTTTCTCGTTAGGTTTTGTCCACCTTTTCCGTCAGTTCTTTTCCGTGTGTTTTTTGTTAAGTTTGACTCACTTTTCCGTTATGTTTGTCCCACTTTTTAGCATTAGGCTTGGTCCCACTGTTTTCGTTAGGTTTGTCTCACTTATTTTTGTCCTACTTTTTTCTGTAGGTTTGTCCCGCTTATTTAGTTGGATTGACAGGTGACCAATGATAACTGACATATGACAGATGACATATGACAGATGAAATATGGCAGCTGACACGCGACACATGACACTTGACAGATGACAGATGGCATATGACAGTATTACACAAAAAAGTTAGGTCTGTGTCAGTATATCTGCCACGTTTATCCCATTCCGTTTCATTATGCTTGTGCCATTTTTTTTTGTTACAACCAAATTATCATTTAGGTTTGTCCCACTTTTTTCGTTAGGTTTCTCCTACTTTTTCATTAGGTTCGATAGTTTCGTAATACGATTGTTCGATAGTATGATAGTACGTTAGTTCGATAGTACGATAGTTCGATACCCATTTTTTCGTTAGTTTTGTCCTACATTTTCACGTTAGATTTGAATCACTTTTCCATTAGGTTTGTCCCTTTCTTCGTCAGGTTTGTCCCACTTTATTTCGTTAGGTTTATCTCACTTTTTTTGTCAGGTTTGTCCCATTATTTTCGTTAGCCATGCCCGACCTAGGCTTGTCCCAATTTTTTCGTTTGACTTGTCCCACTTCCTTTGTCAGGTTTGTCCCACTTCATTTTGTTAGGTCAATCGGACTTTTTTTAGTTAAGTTTGCCATATTATTTTCGTTGAGTTTGTCCCACTTAGTTCGTTAGGTTTGTCCCAGTTCTGTTCGATAGGCTTGTCTCACCTGTTTCGTTAGGTTTGTGCTACTTTTATTCGTTAGGTTTGTCCCATCTTTCTGTCAGGGACACCATTTTTTCGTTAGGTTTGCCCCACCTTTTTGTTAGGTTTGCCTCACTCTTTTCGTTAGGTGTGTCCACTTTTTTTTGGGTCTGTCCCACCTTTTTTCTTGGGCTTGTCCTACCTTGTTCATTAGGTTTATCCCACTTTTTTTCGTTAGCTTGGTCCCACCTTTTTTGTTAGGTTGGTCTAATTTTCTTTTCGTTATATTTGTCCCACTTTGTTTGTTAGGTCATGTCCCACTTTATTGTTAGGTGTGTCCT